CTCCGCTCTGCAGGCTGGGGTCCCGGTGCTCTGCCCCGTGCTCCGCTGCCTCCGCCAGGAAATGGGCTAGCCGTGCTCCGCGTTCTCCGGCGGAGGCGGAGGCGGAGGCGGAGGCGGAGGAAGAGGAGGAGGAGGAGGAGGAGGAGGAAGAGGAGGAGGAGGAGGAGGAGGAGGAGAGGGAGGAGGAGGAGGAGGAGGAGGAGGAGGGGAGGAGGGGGCCCCCCGCTTTCCTGTAGGCTCGGGCCAGGCCGGCCCCGCGCCCCGGCGCCCCGGGCCTTCGGAGCCTCGCCCCGCCCCGGCCGCGGCCCCGGCCGCTCCGCGGCCACGGGCGCCGCCTCCGGCCCTGGCGGCTCGCGCGCCGGCGGACACCGGCCCCGCCGGGCACGGCCACGGGCCCGGACACCCGGCCTCGGCTCTCCGGCAACCTGGCCCCGGACCCGGGCCTCGCCCCCGCCCCGGCCCGGCCCCCCGCCCCCGCCCGCGGCCGCGGGCCCCGCCCCGGCTCCGTGCCCGGCCCCGGCCCCGGCCCCGGCCCCGGGCCCGGTCCCATAGGGCTCCCAGCTTCGCGCTCTCGCGGAGCGCGGAGCGCGGAGGACTTCGCGCTCTCGCGCCGGCCCCCCAGAGGGAGAAAAGGAGGACGAGGAGGAGGGGGAGAAGGAACGAGGACCACGAAGCGCGAAGCACGAATAGCTTCGGTCATCGCTCGCCGCGAATCGTCCATCTTCGTCGTCAGCCGTCCTCGTCGTCGTTGTCGTCGGTCCTCGTCAATGGTCGTCGTCGCCAGTCCGTCGACATACGTCGTTCGTCGTCGTCGCCTTCGTCGACGAAGTTTCCGACAGCGTCGGGAACGCCCCGGATCGGCGGCACCGGCCGGAGGCCACTACACTAGACGCTAATCGACGCCAAATCGAAGACGATGGACGCTCAGATCGGCACTTCCTCATATCGATTACCCGAGGCTAGCGCACGCTACCGCACTCGATTGACTGGTCTTCGAGGACACGCAAGGCGCCCGTGAGAAGTGTGTGGAGCAGGGCGAATCTTGTCCGAGGCAGCTGGCCTCACTTCACGTCTCGCGGCTTCCGGCCTGGGCAGCTGCTGCACGCTCCCTTCCCAGAGAGACGAAAAACTGCAGAGAGTGCCTGTCGGAGCTCCCTTCGGATGTCTCAGATTCGCGGTGGGGCCCCCCTCTCCTCCTCCTCCTCCTCCCTCCTCCCTCCCCTCCTCCTCCTCCTCCTCCTCCTCCTCCTCCTCCTCCTCCTCCCCCTCCTCCTCCTCCTCCTCCTCCTCCTCCCCCTCCTCCTCCTCCTCTTCCTCCCCCTGGTGGCCCAGCGCCGATCTGAGCAATCCGCGCGGAGAGCCGACGGCGCCTCTGCAGTGTCCTTCCCAAAACAGGGCTTGCACCGTGGGATTCTGACTTCTGGTCTAAGGAACTGCGCATTTTCATGTCCTTCCCAAAGCAGGGCTTGCACTGTGGGATTCTGACCTCTGGTCTGAGGATAACTGCGCATTTTCATGTCCTTCCCAAAGCAGTGCTTGCACCGTGGGATTCTGACCTCTGGTCTGAGGAACTGCGCATTTTCATGTCCTTCCCAAAACAGTGCTTGCACCGTGGGATTCTTTCTTCTGGTCTGAGGACCTGGAGCCGATGGTCGGTCCGTCGGCTCCATGCTCGCCGTCGCTGCCCCGTCGCCGCCTCGTCGCCGCCCGTCGTCTGGGCCCGATTGTCGGTCTGGCGGTTCCGTGCTCGCCGTCGCCGCCCCGTCGCCGCCTCGTCGCTGCCCGACGTCTGGGCCTGATTGCCGCTCTGGCGACTCCGTTGTCGCCGTCACCGCCCCGTCGCCGCCTCGTCGCGGCTTGGCGTAAACTTTGAGCAGCGCATTGCTTTGCATTGCTTTGTGTTGACTTGCATTGCGTTGCATTGCTTCGCACTGCTTAGTACTGCTTTGCAACGGTTCGCGTTGCATTGCTTCGCACTGCGTCGAATTGCCTCGCATTGCTTTGCACTGCTTTGTACTATATTGCGTTGCATTTCGTTTCATTACGTTGCATTGCGTTGCATTCCAGAAAATTGCACTGCGTCGCATGGCGTTGCATTGCGTTGTTTTGATGTGCGTTGCGTGGCATTGCTTTCCGATGTGTTGCGCTGGCCCTACTTTGTGAAAGGAAGTGGTAATCTACCACACACACACTGGTTTGATCACTAATCCTCATGGGAGCCTGCAATTCACATAGACTATGCCCCATCGCTCCTTCTAAACATGGAATGATACCATCCCGGGCAAGTCTGTCATCGACCCCCCTCGTCCTTGCCGGATGATACTACGCGCGCATACCCGCTGATCAAAGAAATTGCCGTAAACCATTCCACAAGGTAGAACCGAACAAACGCGCGCGCGGAGTCGCGCGCGCATGCCGACTGCTGTACTAAACAACCTCAAGTATGTTACGGATTATGAGACCGATGCTCCTGAAACATATATACATATATATAACTACGCAGCATGAGGTTTCAAACATAAGCGCACTTGCGAATTCATATGGAAGACGTCGGTTGCTCAATATATTCATCACATGCAACCAAGCAGCCCTCTCGCACGCGCATGTCGCAAATACTTCGAGCGCCCTTGAGCGGTTGCTGGGGGGCACGACTCCTGGAAAAAAACACCGCGCGGGCCACTCGCGCGCCTCGGCCGCGCGCATACTTCGAAATCACTCCGAAACCTTCATCACCGACATGTGGACACCATCATCGTCATCGGCGCGGCAAGGTTCGGCGCCATCAGTGGCTTTGCCGTCGTCATCGTCGTCATTCGACCATCATCGTAAGTACCATCATCATCATCGTTTCTGCTGCTGTCGTCATTACCATGATACGGCGCCCGACTCACCGACTCGTTGTGAAGTGCCCACGCGCCACCGCGGCCGCAGAGACGCGGCAGCCAGCGCCAAGCACTGATCGCAATCGCCGCCGAATGGTTTTCGCAAACTATTTTTCGGGCGGGTGGGCGGGATGATTGCGCGAGCAATGGAGCTGATAACCCTAAGCTTTTCTGAATTATTTTGCACCATATAGATTGCAACAGATGCATTGCACCATCTAGTTTGCATTTCATTTATTGCACCAGCTGGATAACACCGCATATGTTGCAAAAAAACACGTTCACACATTGCACCGACATATATATATACATATATATATAGCACAAACGTAAATTGCACAACATGTGTTGCACCACGTGGATTATCCTTCCTAAAATTAAAACAGATTATACCCCCCACCGATATTATCGTTCCCCCTTCTAATGTTGCAATGTACACGTGATTCTGCCCACCCGTCCATCCTACAATTGAATCCACGCCATCTCAGGCAAGCCGGTATCGACCCTCCCCCCGCCATCTTTTGCAAAAAAAAATCTGCGCGCGCTAGCTCATCAAAAATCATCCATGTTCAAAAACTCCTTTGGCAAGACACGACGAAGTGCACACGCGCGCGTCGTCGCGCGCGCATGCCGAAAACCTTCAGAAACGTTTGGTCTTCGTACGGATATCAAAATCAACTGTCCAACCTACTTAAAACGTATGATGTTTTCGCAACCCGTGTGTATATTGCTTTTATACATATATCTATAAAATACGTTTCGGAAAATATGTGTATATATATGTTCACGTATACCGCGGGCGATCACGAATTGTTGGAAAAATCAAACGTGCCCATAATATGCTACCAAACGGGCTTCGCGCGCGCGCATGCCGAAATCGTTCGGACGCCCTTGCGCGCGTGTTGTCGCAAGAGTCTTACGAAAAACTGTCGGAGCGCACGCGCGCGCCTCATCGCGCGCGCATGCCGAAATCCTTCGAAAACCCTTCGTCCCGTAAGAATCTCAAAATCGACTTTTTAAATATATATATATATATATATAATAATAATAATATTTTTTTATATATATAAATAAAAAAAAAAAAAAAAAAAAAAAAAAAAAAAAAAAAAAAAAAAAAAAAAAAAAAAAAAAAAAAAAAAAAAAACGGTTTCGCAACATCGGCTTTACGGCGCGCGCGCGCTCTTGTGAATTCTCAAGGAAAACACAGGTTGATTAACATGTTCATGGGATTCTGCCAGACGAACATCTCGCGACGCATGTCGAAAACATTCGAACGCCCTTGCGCGCGTGCTGGGATGGGGAACGATCCACGTCAAATCATACCGTGCGGGGAACTTTCGCGAGTCGGCCCCGCGCGCACGTCGAACTCCTTCCAAAACCTTCATCACCGACGCGAGGACGCCGTCATCGCCGTCGGCGTGATCAGCATCGGCGCCGTCACTGGCCGTGCCGCCGCCGCTGTCTTTATCGCCACCGACACTGCTACTGTAATCATCGTGTCTACCGTTGTCGAGGTTGCCATGATAACGCGCCCGCCCAAATCGCCGACTCGCACTGAATGACGGGTGCGCTGGGATGTGCCCAACGGTCAGCGCCACCGCGGCCGCGTCGGTCGCGCCAAACTAGCTGGCCGCTGCGCGCGCGAGCATGCGCGGGCTAGCGCGGACACAGAGATGCACCAGCCAACACCAAGCATTCATCGCTATCGCCGCCGCATGGGTTTTGCAAGCCAAGTTGAGGGTGGGTGGGTGCGATGTCTGCGCGAGCAGTGGAATTGACAACTGTCGGCACGGCGAATTGCACCCCATAGATTGCTTCACCAAGGCTGCACAACGCGTACTGCTGGGAACACACTGTCTGGGGCCCACGCTGGCTAACATGACTTCTCCCTCGATTGCTGCACATCCTCTTCCGTGCCATCCCTCGCGCCGGTCTCTTCCTCATGGTCCAGACCCCTGCCTCCTTCAATCCCCTCGTTATTTCTCCCTCGATTGCTGCACATCCTACTCCGTGCCATTCCTCGCGCCGGTCTCTTCTTCATGGTCCAGACCCCTCCCTCCTTCAATCCCCTCTGAGTCCGCCCCGACAAAAGAAATGGCACCGGGAGCCCCCCCCGAC